GAGTTAGAATAACCAATTAGTTCAAAGTTACCTCCCTTTGGATACCATAGGCCTGCATTTGGATTTCCTTTGATGTATCTGATGATTCTCTTTGCAGCACTTAGATGGCTTTCCTTGGGCTTTGATTGATATCTGGCACAGATTCCAACAGAGAATGAGATGTCTGGTCTGCTTGCAGTTAGATACAACAGAGATCCTATGATTCCTCTGTATGTTGTTGCATCTACATCCTTTCCTTCATCATCTGGACCAATTCCTTGTGAGGTGTTCATGGGAATCTTCACTGAGGATTTGCCTTCCACTCCAAACTTCTTGATCAGGTCTCTGGTATACTTCCCTTGATTGATAAAGATCCCTTCTGGAACTTGTTTGACTTGAAGTCCTAGGAAGTAACTGAGTTCTCCCATCATACTCATTTCAAATTGACTCTGCATCACTTGAGAAAATTTCTTGCACAGTTCTGGATTAGTACTACCAAATATAATGTCATCAACATATATTTGTACTAACAGAATATGATTAGCACCAGAGATTTGAAATAGAGTTTTGTCAACCTTTCCTTTAGTAAACCTATGGTTCACTAGGAAAAGGGACAATGTGTCATACCAGGCTCTGGGAGCTTGCTTAAGACCATAGAGGGCCTTTTTAAGCTTGTAGACACAAGAAGATTGAGTAGGAATGACAAAACCTGGTGGTTGTTCCACATAAACTTCTTCTTCAAGATCTCCATTTAGAAATGCACTCTTGACATCCATCTGGTAGACCTTGATGTTGTTGTAGGCAGCATAGGCTAGAAAGATTCTGATGGCTTCAAGTCTGGCAACTGGTGCAAAGGTCTCATCAAAATCTATTCCTTCTTCTTGACAATATCCTTTAGCTACCAGCCTTGCTTGATTCCTTACAATGTTGCCATCTTCATCTGCTTTGTTCTTGAATACCCATTTGGTTCCAATGACATTCTGGTGCTTTGGCCTAGGAACAAGTTCCCATACTTTGTTCCTTTCAAACTGAATAAGCTCTTCTTGCATAGCATTGATCCAATCTGAGTCTGCAAGAGCTTCTTCAACAGTCATAGGTTCCATTTGAGATATATAGCAGGCAAGCATTGCTTCTCTTCTTGATGTGGATCTGGTTTGAACTCCACTTCTGATTTGACCAATCACTTGGTTAGGGGGATGATCTCTTAACCATGTTAGGTCAGGTTCTGTCAGCTGCTGTCTTGGTCTCTCTGGTTCCTCATCTTCAGAGTCTTCATCTTCATTCAACAGAAGGGGGTTTGGTGCAGGTGTTGGAAATGCAGGATAATCTGGTACCTCTTCTGTTGGTTCTGGTGTTCTGTCTTCTATGCTGACGTCCTTGAGGATCTCTGTTACCTCTTTACAGAGATGCTTTCATCAAACTTCACATGTATAGATTCTTCAACATGTAGGGTCCTTCTGTTGAGTACTCTATAGGCTTTACTGGTGTTTGAATAACCTATAAAGACTCCTTCATCAGCCTTCTCTTGAAAGACTTTCAGATGCTCCTTTCCATTGTTAAGAATGTAGCACTTGCATCCAAATACCTGAAAGTAGCTTATGTTAGGTTTTCTTCCCTTCCAGAGTTCATAAGGGGTCTTCTGGTGATTCTTGTTGATCATGCTTCTGTTCTGAGTTTCTTTTAAAGTTCTGTTCCTTCTTTCTGCTACGCCATTCCGTTGAGGGGTTCTGGCGGCAGAAAGTTGATGAAAAGTCCCATTCTGATCACAGAAGTCCTTTATGACTTGGTTGACAAATTCAGTTCCTCTGTCTGATCTGATTGCCTTCACTTTCAAATTCTTCTCAGTCTGAAGTTGTTTTAACAGAGATGGCAACTTCTGAAGAGTTTCATTTTTCTTTGATAGAAAAATAGTCCATGTATATCTGGAGTAGTCATCAACCATGACTAGGGTATATTTCTTGCCACCAACGCTTGGAGTCTCAACAGGTCCAAATAAATCCATGTGAATCAGATTTAAAGGACTTGTAGAAAGATCTCCAGCAATGGGTTTGAAGGAATTCTTCACTTGTTTGCCCTTCTGGCATGCACTGCAGAGGGTCTCCTTCTTGTACACAATGTCTGGTAGCCCTTCTACAATGTGTTCTCTGGCCAGTTTGTTGATTGTTTTGAAGTTCAAATGGTTGAGCTTTTTGTGCCAGTCCCAGCTCAGTTTTGAATCTCCTTTGGCTATCAGGCAAACTCCATCCTTTGCAGTGTTCCAATCAACTACATAGATGTTCTTCTTTCTTGATGCTATAAGAACCACTTCCTTTGTTGTCTCATGTTTCACATAGCAGAAGTCCTTTGTGAATTCAACAGTGTAGCCTTTGTCACAGAATTGGGTAGCACTTAACAAGTTGAACTTCAGTCCTTTGACATATGAGACATCATCAATGACTATCTGGTTCCTGATAAGCTTTCCTCTTCCTTTTGTTTGACCTTCTTTGTCATTACCTCCAAAGGTAACTCTAGGTCCTTTGCATTTCTGGAACTCTGTTAGGCAACTTCTGTCACCTGTCATGTGCCTGGAGCATCCACTATCAATAAACCATTCTTGTTCAGAGATAGCTCCAGCACATAGTTCCTGCAAGATTAAAAGAAAGATTTAGGTACCCAAGCAATGCTGGGTCCTGGGGGGTCATGGAGTCTGGGTAGTTGGTACCATTTTGGTCTCATCAAGTGAAACCTTGGTGGGTGGTACCCATTGTCCACCTGGTAGTTATAGTAAACTATAGTGTGATTCACTTTGGGCAGATGCTTGTGGGGGTCATGCTTCCTGTTTACATACTTTTGCATAGCTTTCTTTGTTGGAAAGAAGTCTCATATACTATCAAGAGCAGAGGGACGGTTAGCTTTGGGCTTCTGAAGTTGACCAGCCAACCTCTTCTGCCTAAAGTTAACTTTCTCTTGATATTTGCCCTTCTGGTGATCATTTCTGGCACGATTGACATGAGGTTGTCTGTCAATGAATGGTCTTTTATTTTTGTTATCTTGAAAACCTTTTCTGTTGTTAGGTTTTCTGCCATGTTCATTATTTTTCAAAAGGGGTTTCTGTTGAACCTTTATCCTTCCCTTTTCTGGTCTGACTTCCTCATGAACAACCTTGGTGCCAGATACACCAGCTTGACAGATGGGGTTAGAAATCAGTGGCACTATGACCTTATCTGCCTTAGCAACACTGGTGCCAGGCATTACAGAAGGCTCACCTGATTCTGTTGAGCCATAACCAAGACCAAAGCCAGTGCCAATCTGTTGATCAAGTACAATCTTTTCCATGGAAGACTGGGCCTTCTGGTAAGCTTTGTACTTAATCTCGAGAGGCTCTATTTTTCTTATTCTCTTGAGAAGAGAAACATTTTCAGTCTCCAGTTGATCTCTTTCCTTAATTAGAAGATTGATTTTGATCTCAACCTCCTTCTTTAAGTCAAGAATTTCAGCTTTTAACTTACCGTTTTCTTCTGTTACAGAAGAATAAGTGGCTTGTATGGCCTTAAACTCTTCCCAAAATTCTGACATTGTATCAGAATCAAAAGCTAAGCCTACCGAAGAAAAACTAGATTCAGAAGTAGAGGTTACCTCATCATCAGAATGAGCCAAGAGGCAAAGGTCTTCTGTCTCAGTATCAAGGCAACAGAAGGCCTCATCAGAATCTGAGTTAGAACTGGATTCTGTTTCTGACAGAGGGTCTTTCTCTAGCTGTTCTGTCACAAGTGCCTTTCTCCTTCTGGAGTTGTCTTCGTACTTCTTCTTTTCTCCATCTTGTCCTTGTTTCTTGGACACCCTTGGATGGGGACAGTCAGCCTTGAAGTGACCAGGTTGTCTGCAATTGTAACAAAGAAGCTCACCACTGCTTTCTGTTGTTTTGACCTTCTGGTATGGCTTTCTGTTGAAAGATGGACTCCTTCCATCTTTGGGATTCTTCATAAACGTTTTGAATCTCCTGGCAAAGGCAGCCATATATACGTCAGATAAAAGTACTGAAGGGTCAAAATCATTTACCTTTGATGTGCTGGCAGTGAGGGCTGTAGTGGTCCTCTCTTCTGGTACATCTTCCTTTTCTTCAGTCATTTCAAACTCATGAGCTTTGAGATCTGAAATGAGCTTATCAGTGGGATAAGTCTTTACATCCTTGCTGGCTTGGACAGCAACTACCTTCATTTTCCATGCTGAGGGCAGTCCCCTCAACACCTTCAGGTTGATCTCCTTGGTGGTGAGTTCCTTGCCAAGCTCAGAGATCTCTCCAGTGAGAGTGAGGAGCCTGTCATACATCTTGGAGATGCTTTCACCAGGGAGAAGTTTGAAGTCATCAAACTTCTTGTTGGCTATAGTCAGTTTGTTGTCCTTCTCTTGCTCATCACCAGCTCCAATGAGCTCAAGAGTATCCCAGATTTCCTTTGCAGTTTTGCACTTCTTTATTCTGTTGAAGTACCTATCATCAATGGACTTGTAGAGGATGTCCTTAGCAATATTGTCCAGGTTGTACTTTCTTCTCTCTTCAGTGGTCCATTCTGACTTGGCTTTACTGATCATCTGGGGTCTGGTGTTGTCAATAGCATGCTCAGGATTGACCTTCTGGAAGCTTGTGAAAGGGCCAATATCAAGAACTTCCCACATCTCATCATGCAGGGCACAAAGATGTTCTTTCATCCGGATCCTCCAATCATCAAACTTCAGATCTGAGAACATAAGATTCTTGGACAAGGAGTGATCCATTATATCAGATAGAAATGAGGTCAAACAGAAAAACAAGTGGATCTTTGTTCAGCAAATAACCTAAGAGATTATTAGAACAAGGAGGCTTTGATACCACTTGTTGGTCCCGGTTATACTGGATACAGTCTAGAGGGGGGGGGGGGGGTGAATAGACTGTATTGGTTTTTAGCTTTTTAAGCTAAGTACCAGATTTTACAGAATAGCCTGTTCTGTTGACAGAACAGACTGGCAGCGGATGGGGTTCTGGTAGGGAGTTCTGTTGATTTAGCCTCAGAGAAGCAAAGGCAGTAGGCCTTCTGTTAACTCGTAGGACAAGTTCTGCTGAACACAGATACCAAGTCTGAGGAGTTAGACAGTTCTATCTAAATGCAAATATTAAAGCAGTAAGTAAATGACACCAGGGATTTTTATAGTGGTTCAAGGAACAACTTGTTCCTCTAGTCCATTGTTCCACTAAGCTGTAAAGACTTCCGTTTACAATGCCTTAGCCTTATCACTTAAGAAGCTCTCCACGTCTTCCTCAAGTGTAGATGTCTCCTGGGATGCACTACCTGGCTTCCTTTAAGACTGGTCCTTTCACTGAGCTTCCTGGAAGTATCACCACTTCACTACTCAAGTTACTTGGACGTCCTTCTTGTAGCAAGAAGAGTTTCTGTTAAAACAGGGGTTCCTCCAACTAGCTTCGTTACAAAGGATTTCTATGTGATGAGCTTGAAGAGTTGAAGAACACTTGGAACTTTGCTTGAGTTGGAAAAAGTATTTTTCCAACTTCTGCCTTCTCTTGTAGAAGATGATGAAGTGTTAATCTCAATGAGGCTTTTTGCTTTTAGGCGTTTGAATTTCTTGTATGAAGAGTTGTAGCAATGGTTAGCAAAAATTGCAAAGTTATCCGGTTGTTCTTCGTAGTGTATCTTTTATACTGAGGTTGTCTTCCCGTTGGAGGAGTAGGAGGACAACTGCATTAAATGAGCGATCAGTTGACTTGACCAGTAGAGCCCGGTAAAGTTGGCGGGTTACTATTTTGGGATAAAGTATTCCTGACATTGCGGTCAATCATCTGCAATTACTCTACGGAGCATGGGGAGCATTAAATGAGCATTTAATGCGCGTACTGTAGCTTTTCCGTTTAATACTCCTAGCCGTTGAAGGAATCTTTTGGTTGACTTCCCGGTTTTGTGGAATTCTTCTAAGTGTCAGACCTTCTGGTGTCTTTAACTGAGAGTTGAACAGAGGAGGTCTGGAGCACTTCTGTTGAGAATATATCCAACAGAGACCCAGAAGGGTTTCTGTCAGAGTAAAGGCTAACAGAGACCCTGAGGTCTTCTGTTCTGGAGCAAAGAACCAAAGGTCCTCTATTTCAATAATGCCTTACGAGGGTCTTCTGCTCTCGGAGCCCTTCTGCTCAGAAGGTCTTCTGCTCTGAAGGCATTCTGCCAAGTCGATTACACTAAGAACTTTACAAATGAAAATTCTAATACATTAAGTCTAAATAGGGGTACTCTAAAGTCCTAATTAATCTAGCATCATCAAAATCTAAATACAGATATTCCTTACAACTACGCCGAAGAGGGCGACAGGTGAAACGCCTTTCGCCCTGTGCTACGGCTTTGAGGCAAAGGCACCCACGGAAGTTGCCATCCCCAGCCGTCGGGTGGAACAATACGAGCCTGACGCCAACGAAGAAAACATGAAGATTGACCTGCACCTGGTCGACGAGAGGCGTGAGCAAGCTTACGTCCGAGCAGAGAACTACCGGCGTCAAGTAAAATCATACTATGACGCCAAGGTACGTTCCCGAGAATTTCAAGTGGGGGACTACGTCCTCCGCCGAAGGGAAGCAAGCCAGCCGACAGAGGGTGGCAAACTAGCATTGAAGTACGAAGGGCCCTACATCGTCAGTGTCGTGGTCAAACCCGACACCTACAAGCTTAAACACCCGAATGGGTCCAATGTACCACGAACGTGGAATGTACACCATCTGGTGAAGTTTTATCAGTAATCCGAAGGAGGTGCAGACGGCGAAGCCCTCACCCCTTAACGGGTTACTGATTGAACGCCACCCTTGGCCTCGAGCCACTTATGAATAAAATCATGTTCCTCTTGATTTTTTCTTTGGAATTTAAAGTAAAATATTAGCAAGTGCCCTCATCAGCCACCTTAGAGCGAAAGACTCAGGTATGGCCGACATGGCACCTTGCATTTGCAGCCTACGAGCGACAAGCTCAGGCACTCCATTGTATTTTGTATCAGCGAAGGGCTCAGGCCTAGCTGAGAGAGCACATCGTCCTGGCCCCGTAAGCCTAGAAGTGAAACGCTCAGGTATGGCCGACGATGTCCCCAGGACCAGGGGCCCGCAAACGGCCCACGTCTTGAAACGGGAAGCTCATCGCGTCGTCCACGCGCCGGATCGCAGGACGACAGGCCTGAAATCATGGCCGAGGTGACAAAATCCCAAAACTCAGGGATGGGCAATGACAGCCGTTGGAAACCGACCAAAAGTCTAGCCCGCGTCATAAATAGGCAACGGGACCCGCCCTGAGATCACGGACGTTATAAACGAAGTCCGAACCGACCGAAGGACGAGCACACCCTTCGGCCGAAGCCTGAAAGAAGGATACTCCCCTGAAATAGGAAAAAAAGGAGGGAAGCCGAGGACCGCGCGCACTTGCCGGCCTCGAGCAATGGAAAAATAAAATCCCCACAACTCCGACCAAACTTGGCTAAGTACATATCAGTTGAACACAAGTGTAGTACCACTAACAGGTGACATGGACGATATGGCCATACGCCCATCACAGACAAGGGAATCGTCAAGGACGAAGCATACGCCTATAAAACCCTAACCAGTGGTTGGGTGACACGCGAGTGGTAACCTTCATCGGCCACAGCTCTTTGAAGCACCAACACTTAGTATGAAATAAAGAATTACAATCTTGAAAGATGACCAGGACGAAGCGGGCAGTATCAATCCTGAGGACGACCAGGACGAAGCGGGCAGTATCACACCCGCGGACGAATTAAGCATTCAAGCAACAATCCCTACCGACCACAGCATTCCGGATGGCCGTTACAGGCACTAAAACCCAGGCTGTTGGCCAAGCGGAAGATCTTTGGGGATTTGTCCAAGTGTTTACCAAACACTTAGACAAAATTCCTGAGGAAAAAGGTTCCTTAAGAGAATTCCGACACTTAGAGAAACTCTTGGGGAAAGCAAAAGGCACCCTCATCGGCCACAAAGCCAGACCTTGGCCGATGAAGGTAGGGCCATCTCTTGGCCGCCAACGGTACCACAAAGAAGGAACTATGTCTTGCATTTATACTTAGAAAAAACTCTAAATATTTAAATGGAGAAACTCTAGACGAAGCGGGCACCTGTATACTCGCAGGCCGTTAGCTACCTATGTCTTGCATTTATACTTAGAAAAATTTCTATGTTCAAAAAACTAAGTTCAAATGACCCAAGGCAAGAAACGAAGACATACAAGGCCGAAGGGGACAACAACCCGTGTACCCTTATCGACCACAACACAAGGATCCAGGCCGACCTCCCTGATCAGATCAGGAACAAGGGAACACAACGGCCACGAAGAACACCGGGCCGACAACAACAACATCGGTTCAACACTTAGGGAATTTTCCAAAGCATTTGTCAACACTGAGGAGAGGCTCAACACCAGGACGATGAGAACACCCACCTACTTGAAGTTGGACACTTAGAAAAATTCTAACAACAAGAAGAATGCGACAATGCCAAGACGCAGCGGACACCCCAGCTTGCCCGCCTCGGTCAGGACGGAAAGAAAGCACCTAAGTGGATCTAAAACACTTAGGAAATTTATGGATAAATCCCAAGTGTTACGACAGCGAAGTAACACCGGACAGGCCGACAATGCCACCAGACTAAATGGACTACCTCACGGACGTAATAAACACTCGCGGGTGACCTAAGTTGTAACTTAACACTTAGACAAATTTCAAAATTGAAATAGCAAAAGGGAATAAACATACAAGACATTCAAAGCCGAGCAGGACAACAAAACGTTCATTCATCAACAATTTAAGTACAATTGGTGGGCGCTTCGGCCATTACATCACATGGGCAGGAAAAAAAAGGTAACTGATTACAAGATAGGGAACGGGGAGTAGCCGATCAAGTCTCTTGGGCACCTCCATCATGCCCAGCCTGGGTTTGATCTCCGGCATCTTCGGCTTCCTCCTCGGCCTCAGTCTCCTGGCCGGCGGCAGCTGCAGAGCTTGTGGCATCATCCAAGAAATCAAACTCGTCATAGTCCGGCTCGCCGGGGCCGGAACTTTCGATTGGGGCCTCCCTTTCCGGAAGAGGAAGATTGGCCTGCTCCTCGGGATCCTTCATCAGCCTGGGAAGCCTCAGGTTCCGCCTCGCCCACCCAGAGGTATAGTTCATTGCTTTAAGGGCACGCGCCAGCCGCCGGCACAGGAGCCTCTGCATCCGTTCTTGGCCCATGTTGTAGTACACGGACATCTCCCTTCCAAAGTACTCTTGGCCAGCGGGGGAGTTCATTCCCCAATCTTTGAGCTTGGCGGCCACCACTTCATAGCACCAGGGGAGCTGCTCGTCGACCTTCCATCCCTCGGCCAGGAACTTTTGAACGGCCTCATCAGCGGCCTTCACAGCGGCAGCCTCGGCCTCAATCTTGGCCTTCATGACTTCATCATTCTTGCGCCGCTCAACCTCAAGCGCTCTCTGGCTCTCCGCGAGCTTGGCCAAGGCATCGTCCCTCGCTGCAGCAGCCTCATCGGCTCTCTTCTGCAGAGCCTTGGCATCCTCTCGGAGCCGATCCAAGCAGGCCATCGCCTCATCGGCCGAGGCAGACTTTTGCTCGAGCTCCTTCAGACGAGCAATCTCCCGTTCTTTCCTTTTGTGGCTCTCCATGAGCATGAAGGCACCCTGCAAAACAAAGGCAAACAAAGACTCAGGCAATGACTTCACACAGACAACAAGGAAAACAACAAATAGAAGGGGAAGGAACTTACTTGGACGATGAGGTCCATCCCGCCTTCATAGACCTTGACGTCCCCGAGCCTCTTGAGGTAGGCCCGATCCTTGGCCGGCATGGCTTGGGCAAGCACATCATGGCCGTCAACGGCATCGTCAAAGACACCCCCGCCAACGGGGTACTCCACCACTTTTTGGTAAGTGGCAGTGGCAATCTCCTTGCCAGCCCGCTTCGTCTGAGTCTCCTGGCCGAGAGGGAGCGGCTGAGCAACGGCGCTGGAAGGAGCAGCGGTAAGATCCACGACGGCAGCAGCAGAGCCAGAACCACCATCGTCCACGTTCGGGACGGTCAGGACGCCGACCTCATCGGCAAGGGAAGGAGACGGCGCCCTCTTCGTCTTCTTGGCGAGATTAAGACCAGCCTCGGTCAGCTTCTTCTGGCCGTCAGTGGGAGGCCGTTTCTTCTTTGACTGGGCAGGCTTCGGGGCCCCACCAGCAGCAGCCCTGCCTCCCTCGGCCGCGGCACGCCTTGCCGCCTCGACCACCTTCGCAGCCAACTCCTCGGCCGCCTTGGCCTTGGCTATGGCCATGATCGAACGGCGATCCATCACAAAGTCTACACAAAGGAAAATGAACAGGTTAGCAAGGCAAAAGGACAAAAAACAAAGGAAGAAAGCCGGAGAAAGTATTACCATCGGCCTAAGCAGGAACGCCCAAATCCGGGCCGTCGGCCTCCTCAAAGGTAGTGGACATCCTCGGCCACAGTTGGACATCGTCTTCCTTGTCACCATACACATAGTACCTAAAGAAGCCGAGGGCGGTCATCTTATACTCGGTGATGTAGTCTTTCACGCTCCTCGGCCCCCCGTCCAGGAACGCCTCCACCTGAGCGTCCAAGATCGAACTCTTCGGCGGGTCGTGCAGATTGAACCTCCCAGTATGGCCGAGAGAGGGAAATTCAATGTCGTTCTCACCAAGGGACACGAAAACGAACTTGCTCTTCCAACCATGGATGGACGAAGGCAAGTCCGTGAAGCTCCTCTTCTTCGGCAACTGTTGGAGAGTAGCGTAGGCCGCACAGTTCTTGTGGCTTCCTCGGCCAATCTGATAAAGGTTCATGAAGAGAGCTGTCGTCGGCCTGTAGCCCAACTCCTCACAACGGAGCAAGAATCCCACCATCAACGAGTAGCTGTTCGGGGTCAGCAAGGCCGGAGGAAGTCCCACCATGTCCAAATATTCGGTGATGAAGGGATGAAGGGGAAACCTCAGCCCCTTGGCGAAACTCATCGGGTATACTCCGAAGTACCCCGGTGGCGGATTGAGTACATGGTCCGTCGGCCTGGGTGCCCTAACCCTCCCGAACGGCCCCACATACATTTGGGCAACTAAGTAATCAGCCGCGCTGCTCTCCGGCTTGATCAGGTAAATGTTTGTGAGATCCAGGTAGGAGACGCCTGGCCCACTCTTCGGCCTCCTTATTCTCTTCGGCCTCTCTGCTCCCTTCACGGCAGACACCGGTTTCGGGCACGGAATAGCAGCGGAAGTGGACGCCCCGTCCACCACTCGGGACGCACCCGCGTCCTCACCTTTTGAAGACGAGGCGGACTCCTCGTCCTCACCTTCGTCGGCCATAGGCTCTCCGGACTTGTAAGGACTTAAACGCTCTATCTCTTCCTCGAACTCCTCAAGCACCTCATAGTCGAGGGACCTAGTGGAGGGCTGGTCGTCGTACGGATAGTACTCCTCGTCTAAGCTCTTCATCATAACAACTATTACGAGCCTAAGGGGAATTACTTCGGATCTAAGGCGTTTTGGCCACTAACACTAGATCAAGGCTCAGAGAAGCAAAGTATGCAAAGGAATTGAAGAACAAGTCAAGAACTAACCTTGAAGGTATGAAGAACTCGAAGAACACCTTGAAGACTCTCTCTCTCTAGGAATTTGGGTAGCACTTCGATATCTCAAGAATGCAAGTGAGGAACCGCTTCGGAGGAGGGGGGTATTTATAGACACTCCCCAACGGTCACTACACGTGGCACCATATCAATGGCCACCTCAGCGGTCACCTTCCCAGCAGCCGATGAGGTGCCACCCCTTCGGAAATGGGCCGGTCTCGAGAACTAACCTACCGGTGGAGCAAAACCCTACGGATCACACGGACAACGAACGCCCACAACGGCCTATACGCTTGCCGGCTTCACAATGCCAGCAAAGCGATAAGGAGATGACAACGGCTAGGAACGTCATTAACGCCCGTAACGGCCACAGAACCAAAGGAACAAAGAACCCGCAGCCATCGGCCTTCGTAACGACCTCTGATGATAATTCTTTACAAGCGATCTGTGCACAAGGGTTCTCCCACAGGGTTACCTTGGCCAGAAAATCGCCATAAGGGTTGGATTCAGGGGCACTACGAAGAGGCCGCTTCGGCCAGGGACTTAAGCAACTCCTTCACCCCTCACACTATTCGGCCTGAAGCAGTGGGGGACTAGGGGACTACTTCGGCCTCAACAATACAGACAGGAAAAATGCAAACACAAATGTAACCACAAAGCATGGCCACATCGTCCATGTATCACAACGGCGCCAAGGTCTTCGTGACTCCATCTCCGGCCAGGCACTTTGGACAACACGGCGCCTCGTCGGCCAAAGGCACATAACACCATCAACAACGGCCAACAGGCCACCTAAGGCAAGGACATTCATCGTCCTCCGCCAACAGTTAATCATAATGGGCTCTTCGGCCAAGGACACGAAAGCCAATCAGCGACGGCCAAAAGGAGTGCGCAAGCACCCTCATCGGCCACCCAAAGGAAAGGACGCCATCGTCCTTGAAGCAAGGTTCAACCTCAACGGCCTCATCGGCCCAAATGTAAATTTCGACCATCAACGTCCAAGAAAGGGAAAACGCGCCTTCAACGGCCGCCATCGAAGCAGGACACTCATCATCCCCAAACGAACATACCAAGGAAACAACGGCCTCCCCGTCCACAGCGAGGAACAGGTAACGGCCAAGCACAGAACAAGATCACCAAAATGGAAACAGCGCCAACGCCGCAATAGCTAATGGCTTGGGAGTGCCCGCATCGGCCAAAAGCACCAAAGCACGGGAATCTACTCTCCTTCACTCCGTCTACGTCTCAGCTTAGAGAGTGGGGGACTCCTGATGGAGTATATGGGTCTGAGCCCCCGGACCCACATACTCAAAAGAACAGAAAGCACAAGACACTGAGTGGTGCCCTCGTCGGCCAAGGGACCCCCGTCGGCCGGGAAGGTACCAACTCAGAATATGGTCCTGAATCCAAGGAACCCGGGTGCCCTCGTCGGCCGTGCCCTCGTCGGCCACGCCCTCGTCGGCCACGAAGACCTCACAGAACCAGATTTTACACTTACTCATTTGAACAGCCCATTAGTGGCTTTGTATTCGGCCCAGTAGCGGTCCAGTTGTAAATGGGCCTCCCAAGCCCAAGGCTTGGGAGCCCAGCCCGTATTTTCCCTATAAATACTTCCTCTGGAGGTAGTTATCAGGGTTACGAAATCATTCTATTGAAGCATATCATTGCACTTCTCTCTCTAGCTCTCACTTCTCTCTAGATATACTCTATCAGTGACCATCACCCTTATATGACGATCGGCTTCATTCTTGCCTCGTCATCATATTATCGGATCGGCTCATCATCGTCGTTCGCACATCATGAGGGGCCCCTCAGCCTCGGCGTGATTATCTATCCCCAAGACCGGTCTCAGTCATTCCTTCATCGGATGGCTACCGTTTCTTGGACTTTTGGATCAGCCTCATAGTGGTGACGACTTCGCATCACGACCGGCTCCTTGGCCACGACTTGACGCCCTACCCCAACACCGGCTTCATCAGCGCCGAGTGTGTTGGGCTAGCGGCATCACGGAGGCCCTCCGCACCTACTCCATTGTTTTGGCATGGGGCCGGAGGACATGCCGGGAATCCACCGAAGGGTGATCACTCATCGCATGGCAGTGGACCCTTCCTCAAAACCTGTGCAGCAGAGAAGAAGACCTCTCTCAGCCGAAAGGAGGGACTTCGTAAAGAAAGAGGTCTTTATTCTCCTCTCCATCAAACACATCAGGGAGGTAAAATACCCTTCATGGTTAGCTAATGTCGTCGTTGCACAAAAACCACCCACCTTCCGCATGTGCGTGGATTACACAGACCTGAATAAGGCATGCCCTATGGACCCTTTCCCTCTACCAAACATTGACCAGCTGGTGGATGAAACGGCGGGATGTGAAATCATGTCTTTCCTCGACGCTTTTCGAGGATATCACCAGATATATATGCATGAGGGGGATGCGAAAAAAACAGCCTTCATGACGCCCGAGGGAATCTTCTGCTATCTAGTTATGGCCTTCGACCTAAAGAATTTGGGCGCCACTTACACCCGAATGGTGGCCAAAGTCTTTCAAGCCGTCCTAGGGCACACCATGGAGGCTTACATCGACGACATGATCGTCAAAAGCAAACGATCACCAGCCACGCTGAGGACCTCCGGGAAATTTTTGCCATCATGCAAAAATTCAATCTCCGGTTGAACCCGAAGAAATGCACCTTCGGAGTGCAATGGGGGAAGTTTTTGGGCTACATGGTTAGTCGAAGGGGTATCGAGGCCAACCCCGAGAAGATCCAGGCCATCATCAACATGGAGCCCCTACACAACGTGAAAGAAGTCCAAAGGTTGACAGGCCGCCTGGCAGCCCTCAATTGCTTTCTTTCTAAGTCAGCAGAGAAGGCCATCCCCTTCTTCCAAACCATGAGAAAGACAGCCAGCTTCCAGTGGAGAACGGAGTGTCAAGAAGCCTTTGAAGAATTGAAACAATACCTGTCTTCACCCCCCGTGCTGTCCAAGCCCAAGGTGGGGGAAACGTTATATCTTTATCTTGGCGTTAGCCCTGCGACCATCAACTCGGTTCTAATTCGGGAGGAAGACGACATCCAACATGCAATATTCTATGTCAGCAAGACCCTCAGGTAGGAAGAACTCAGGTATTCTTCCGTGGAGAAGACGATACTAGCTATCGTTTGGACCGTCAAGAAGCTAAGTGATTACTTCCAAGCCCATCCGGTCCAGGTCCTCACGCACCAACTCCTCGGCGCATTGATGAGGAGCCCCACCAGCTCCCCCCCGAATGGTGAAATGGCCTATCTTTCTTACCCAATACAACATAGACATCCGTCCGAGGCCCGCCATCAAGGGCCAAGCCCTGGCGGACTTCGTAACGGAATGCACGACAAGATCTGCGGTGGACGAGATGCCCCCAACACCCCTGGACGAATGGTGGACTCTCTACACAGATGGCTCCTTGGCAACCAAAGCATGCGGGGGAGGCGTCGTTCTCATCACACCCGAAGGCTTTTGAGCCTACTATGCCATTTGCTTCTCCTTCAAGGTCTCCAACAATGAAGCTGAGTATGAGGCCCTCCTATGTGGCCTTCGGCTGGCAGCAAACCCAAAGGCTAAGCAAATACATGTGAAGTGCAACTCCAAGCTAGTTGTTGGCCAAATCTCGGGGGAATATGAGGCCAAGGAAGGGAGAATTAAGCAGTATAAGGAAGCGGCCAAGGAATTGCTAAAGGTATTCGACGCAAACTCCCTCACTCAAATACCGAGGGCTCAGAACTCCGAGGCAGACATTCTATCGAAGCTCTCGGCTGAATCTCCGGAGCACCTCTCAAAGATCGCAAGGATCAAGGAACTCAACCTATCAAGCATACATGCAAGCCCCGTCATGGAGATACACCTAAGGTCGGAGGACTGGATTTCGGATATCATCAACTTCATCACCACAAGGCAACTACCCGAGGACGAAGCCCGGGGACAAAGCCCGCGCGAAACTGGCAAAGCTGAGGGCTCCCAGCTATACCCTCGAAAACGGAAGGCTTTACAAACGATCCTACAACGGCACATTACTCCGGTGCCTTCATCAGGATGAAGCCGAAGTTGCAATGGAGGAAGTGCACAGTGGCACTTGCTCAGCTCACCATGGACCCTTCTCTATGTCCCGAAGACTTATAGTCCAAGGCTACTTCTAGCCTACGATGGCCCGAGATTGTGCAACTCTCGCCCGAAGGTGCGCCGCCTGTCAACACTTTCATAAGGCTCCCCAATGGCCAGCGGTTAACTACGCCCCCATCAGCACAAAATACCATTCTCCAGGTGTGGCATCGACCTAGTAGGCCCACTACTGAGGGGTACCTCCAACAACAGGTACATCACCGTGGCCATAGACTACTTCACCAAATGGGTGGAGGCGGAGCCCCTCGTCAGCATTACTTAGGCCAGGTGCCGCCATTTTGTTCTCAAAAACATCCTCACAAGGTTCGGCGCCCCCCCAACAAATCATCTCCGACAATGGAACTCAGTTTGAGGCAGCCCCCTTCTGCCCCCTACTAGAGGCATGGGGCATCAAACACACCTTCTCATCAGTTGCCTACCCTCAAGGGAACGGTCAAGTGGAGAACGCTAACCGAACTCTGCTGGAAGGGTTAAAGAAGAAGCTGGAACTCGAAGGGGGGAGCTGGGTAGAAGAGCTTCACAACATCTTATGGGCCTACCGCATCACCCCTAGGAGGGAAACTAGCGAAACACCCTTCTCCATGTGTTATGGGTTCGAAGCTAAAGCTCCCACTGAGGTAACTCTCCCCACCCGAAGGGTGGATCAATACGAACCTGAGGTCAACGATGCCAATATGGCCCTCGAGCTTCACATAATCTCGGAGCGCCGAGAGCAAGCCTTCCTAAGGGCGGAGAACTACCGAAGACAAGTAAAAGGCTACATCGACGCCTAGGTCCGTTCCCGAAAATTTCAAGTGGGGGACTACGTCCTCTGTAGGAGGGATGCTAGTCAACCAACCGAGGGCGGAAAAATGGCACCAAAGTTTGAAGGGCCATACATAGTCACAACCATCATCGAACCTGGAACATACAAGCTAAAACGCCCCAATAAGACCGAGGTCCCTAGACATTGGAATGTACACCACCTAGTCAAATTCTATCAGTTCATATGAGTGGCCAAACCCTCATAACTCACGAATGTACGTTGTCCAACGACCCAAGGCCCCCTCTTTCTCAGAAGAATAAATACACGTTGAGACACAAAGTACCAAGTACAAAGTGCATATGAGTGGCCAAGCCCTCACCACTCACCAATATACGTGATCAACAGCCCAAGGCCCCTCCCTTTCATAAGGATGAATAAAGTGTGACACCGTAACACCAGGTACCAAGTATAGAGTGTGCGAAATATGCCCACCATTCTTAAAAATACCAAGTGATCTTCACTAAGCCGCCCCCTCGAGGACGCCCCCAGGCATATATTAGTTCATGCATGTTTGTACACACACATAAAAAAATAATAAAAAAACTAAAGGGACGTACCTCTCGGCACCGGAAGGTACCAAGTACCTCCGGACGTTTGTGTTTCACACACAAATAAAACCCTTCCGTAAAACGCTTTCCGCGCCATTCCCCAAGGGAATGGCAGGCAACGGACCATGTCCCGGGCCCAGGATTTGACTTTCAAAAACGAAATGCTTCACGCGCTATCCCTCAAGGGGAAGCAGGCAACAGACCATGTCTCGAGCTGAGGGAACGACTTTCAAAACCGAGGCGCTTTCCGTGTCATCCCCCAAGGGGAGGTAGGAAACAGACGATGTCTCGGTCAAGGAAACGACCCTCAAACCCCTCGGTATCTGGAAGGTCAATACCTAAGGGGGAGCCAACGGTTTATTCTAATGCCTCCCACATAGGCCAAGCCTCCCAAGAAACCAAGTTTCTTGAAGCTCCCCTGCACACAAAAAAAGGTAGTAGGGGGAGTAAGCCCATTATATAACGGGAACTCCATCATGAGGAGCATTTTCCGAAGGGATATTATTGCAAAGCCACGGATTCTTCAAGTCCAAGACAACTTAACTAAATGCCCGAAGGCTTCGAAAAATTATCATATCACGACCCTCACCGATGGCTACAACACTACGCATTTCAAGGGAGTGCATCTTCCTAAGTCTGATAACCAAAGCCATGGGTAAGGATTTTGGTTTTGCACGGGGACTCAATGTTTGTATGGGGTTCTAACTGAACTCATGCCGAGGGCATCTCACACCAAACTGACCTCGGCCATGGCACTTCAAATCAAAAGTCTAAACTTATGAGGGACATGTTCTCAACGTCTCGAGGACTTGAATGCACTGTTTTCTACAAATTCTACTAAAGCGGAAATTTCCTAAGTCCACCAGCGTAAGGATCCCGGGAAGACACTATGGGTCGAGCTAGGGCTCGGTGTGGAATTTTTCCTGGAAGTTCCCTAAAGTCTACAGTTACATACCCCTCAGATGCATTATGAGGAGTTTGGTGCTCCACATAAAGGAAGGCTAAATACCGAGGGCACAATATCAGAACTTGGGCTCAAGTGCAAGAGTTTTTCCAGGTTCCTGGCAAAGTGGAAAATTTCCAAGTCTCAAAGCTGAGACCCCTCAAAGGAAGTTGAGTTTACATAAGGTTTCAACTGCACCGGAAACTCTATATACCGAAGGCTTGAGGGCAATTTTTCCTCAAAGATTGTATTACCCGAAGGCTCCACCATACTTTACTAAGGGAATTCAGCTAAAACCGGTTATAAACCGAGGGCAGGTTCATGAAATTACCCGGAAAATTTCCTAAGTTCACAACACCAGACCCCCCCGGTAGATGACGAAGGGCTAGCTGTTTCACACGAAGAAAGGAAGGCATTGACTGAGGGCTCAGTGGTGAACTTACTTAGAAACCTTTCTAAGTCCTAAACGTTTGGCCCTCGGTCGACTCATGGGGATTCATAAAACAGACATACATTCATAAAAATTGAAGAAGGCATAAATGAAGATGGGGGAATCAACAACATATCCATTCATAAAGCGAAAGACAAGTGAATTCATACATAAAAAACGGAGGCATTCATAGTATAGATAGTGAAAGCATAAGAGTGTTTACACACATATCTGGCCGAGGCTGAAGGTTAGACATCTATTACAAAGACAAAACACAAAAAATGCTAAGGAACAAATCTCTTAAGCTTGGACATTTCCTCCTCCATCCTTCAGCTGGGAGGCGGCATCATCTTCAGCATCCTCATCGTCCTCGTCGTCCTGTCCCTCTCGCATCAGCTCGGAATCCTCGAGGTATGGCCTCTCAAAACCCGGAGGGAGGGGGATTCAGATGTCTAGCTGAAGGGGGGAAGGTCATAGGCTTCCGTGTCAAATTCCTTTAGATCCACCCTAAAACGCCGAGCAAGCCTCTGATAGATGAGGGCTTGAGTGAAGAACCCACCCCCGTCATAGTAAGCTTTACCCTTCCGGGCTAACCATTCAGCGCCAAGGCCTCCAGCCCAATCATCAACGGTCGCTTCCACTACCAAAGCCAGCCATTGCTTGTACTCCTCGGCTTTCCAACCATCAGCGATGAAGGAGACAATATCATCCTTCCTAGCCTGGGCGATGGCCTCTTTCTTGGCTATCTCGGCTTCCTCGGCAGCTGTCTTGGAAGCCTCGGCAGCGGCCTTTTCAGCTTCGGCCTTTTAAGCTTCGGCCTTGCCCTCGGCTCTGGCCTCTTTTCTGGCGGCCTCCAACTTCTGCTCCATTCACTCGGTGGCCAGTCGGAAGGTTTCCTCCAATCTCGCCATCTTCCTCACGGCGGCAGCATTTTCTATGACAAGCTTCTTTAAAGTCTCGTCAGACTGCACCTTCTGGAGGCGCAAATTTTCCACACTCCGGAGCTGCTTGCCGAGGCCGATGCAAGCAAATAAGAAAACGCTAAGAGTTAGACTACTATGCTAAGTACGCTAAGGCCAATTGACTAAGGAGACAAAAAATATGAGGAATCTTACAGTGATAGAAGCATGGAGAATCTTGGAATCGAGGAAGTCATCCTCATACCGGCTGAGGGCTGACCTATCCAACTGAGGGGTAGCACCCCTCAGGAATTCCCTCGGGTCCAGGATGCCATGCATGATGGCAGCTCCCTTTTTAATGGAGAACTGTACATTCTACCAGGACAAGCCCCTCTCACCCATTTGTTCCAAAGGGGGTTGGGAGGGGTCGTCGTCGTCATGAACGGGGGCTCGGAAGAGGGGTGCTCCTCAACGATCACAGCGGGGGCAGCCTTCTTCCCGACATCCCCTTTTTTCTGCTTCTTCCCGGCGGGTACCACGGTTTTTTCCGTCATCTTCTTCTTTACAGCCGAGGCTTGGGTGCCTCCGGCCTCGACATCAGCAAGGGCAGCAGGAACTGCCGATGGGGGCTCACCATCCTTCTTGAAGAATTCATCAACGGGTTTTTGGGTCCCCATCTCCTTCTTCTTTGGCTCCTTGACCAACTTCTTCTTCAGATTGGCGAAAGATCTCACATCCATGGCCTCCCCGATGAAACAAAGGAAAACATATAAGTGTTATACTACAATAACAAAACACAAGAAAAACGCTAAGTACAAAAAGAGGGGCCTTCGGGAATCACCTCCGGCACTCTCGTAAACACAATCTATGGGGGGTATCTCTCATCTTTCTCCCCCATCAGCCGGTATCGGCGGAAGTCCAGTCGGTATAGTTCATCCGGAAGGGTGGCATCTTTAATCGTCACCAGCTTATCAGACCCCTCCGGCTTATCAGCAAGCTACCTCCCATTCCTCTCGAGAGCAGCGCTCCTTACCTTTGGGTGCCTCCGGAAGTTATCACAAAGAGGGGTAGGGAAGGGGTTCTTCACCATGCAGATGTAACAAAACTTGTCCTTCCATCCTTTGTGGGACGAAGGAACTTCGAAGAATAGCTTGAACTCCGGGACTTGCTGCAAATTGGCGAAGCCTCCGGCGTTTGAATGTCCACCATAGCAGAGATTAAATTAAAGAAAGAACTGGTCTAAAGTGGGTTCGACCCCCCGACTCTGGCATATGGAAAGGAAACCAGCCACGTAAGAGTGGTTGTTGGGTGTCAACTGATAGGGGCCCAGCTTCACGAACCTCAAATACTCCAACACGAATGGGTGGAGTGGACCTGGAGCCCCAATTCTACTGACAAGATGTGAACGGCAAAACATCCCTCGGGCGCGCACAACAATACGTCATTTGGCCCCGGTTCCACCACGCATGCCGAGGGGCCTGCGAAGAACTGCATAGCTTGATATTCGGCACTCGTTGCCCTCATCTTCACATCCTCGACCGTGGTATTCAGATATGAGTGGCCTTCGGGGATACCTACCGGCTGCCCAGCGTCTACAATAGCTGGCTTCTTCTTCTTTGGTGCAGCCCTCACCTTCTTCTCTTTCCTACCCGGGGCCACCCTAAGAGGTTCCGGGTCGAGAGGTCGGGACCTGCTCGCCTCACCGGCATTTTGCGGAGGAAGGACAACGATGGGTAACCTTCTGCCTCTCATTCTCCTCCTCCTCCTCCTCCTCAGTGACTTGGAGGGCTAAGTGTAACAGGCCCCGTAGGGGCCGAGGTAGTTACTTCTGACATCTAGTACTGTCCTCACAAACCACCACGGGCCTTTACCGTGCACTTTGTCCTCACTCGTGCGCGCCCTGAGAAACTTCTCAGAGGGTCACCAATCCCAAGACTACTCTCGTGCAAGCACGCTTAACTTTGGAGTTCTTGGATGATGAGCTCCCTTAAAAAGAGCTGCACCTCTGTTTGTATGAGTAGTACTATTAATCCTCTTAAATTAATATCAGGCATTACAATCACCCCACTTAGAATCGCAACGTCCTCGTTGCGCCCTTAACAATCTCAATCAAACCCCAGAATCTTGTCCCGCTAAGTGCCCGCCTGAAATCCAACGGGTCAGCACACTGTTGCAGGGTTGCTCTGATACCACATATAACACCCCGGCCCCACAGGGCCCGAGGTAGTTACTTCTGACCTCTAGTACTGTCCTCACAAACTACCACGAGCCTTTACCGCACACTTTGTCCTCACTCGTGCGCGCCCTGAGAAACTTCACAGGGGGTCACAAACCACCACGAGCCTTTACAGTGCATTTGTCCTCACTCGTGCGCGCCCTTAGAAACTTCACAGGGGGGTCACCCATCCCAAGACTACTCCCGTGCAAGCACGCTTAACTTTGGAGTTCTTGGTTGATGAGCTCCCTTAAAAGGAGATGCACCTCTGTTGGTATGAGTAGTACTATTAATCCTCTTAAATTAATCTCGGGCATTACACAAGGGCCATTTCTTCATCCTCTACCACTTGTTCGAATTCCTCAGCCTCCGCTTCGGTCCGAAGATGGTCTTGAACCTCCTTAGCTACGGCAGAATCATCACGCGCCAAAAGCTGCTCGCTCGAAGACTTAACATCTGAGTAGCTCTCTGACTGGAGTGGGGCCTCCCTGGAAATATTTTGAGAATCACTTTCTGAGGACATCCTTCGGATCTACGGTGAAGGGGATGTGAGGAAAGAAGGCTTTCTAAAGTCTCTAACACAAGACCTAAGCAGAGGAAAACTAAATATACTAGAGAAGCGAAGAGCAGATGAAGAACTGACCTCGAAGACTTGAGTTTGATCGAAGGCAAATGTTTATCTCTCTAGAAAATTCGACAGAGCTTCACCTCAGTTCTAAACGCACAAGCCAAATGGGTGTGGCCTTGGGGTATTTATAGGCCCCCAACCACGGTTAGCCTCGAGGCATGGGCCTCCAGTTAAAATCCCATCATTACGGGCTGTGGTATTGGTCAATGGTTGGCACCCGCCCTCTTTTAGCCAACGGACGCATGCCACGTGGACACCACCACCAACGGCTATATTTCAACGGCCACATTGCAATAATGTCCTCAGCTGACACCCTTCGAACAATAGAACGATATGCCTTCGGCTCGATGCACATTCCTTCAAGTGACCCTTCGGCAATCACGCATCAGCTATACATGAAGCCTCCGGGTTATCAGATATTGCTACACCCTTCGCCAACATATGCCCTCGGGTCTATGCGGTGCACAATAACTCCTTCAGCCCGAACTAGTCTTTGCCCTAAAGGAGTGGAGGGCTGGGATACACCCTCAGGAAAACACTGGACAAAAAATTCACACATGCAAAAAATCTACAAAGGACACATGTTACCAACATACCCCTCGGTACATAAGCAAAAATAAAAATCCTCTTGATCGCCTTCAGCCAATGTACACATAGTGACAAAGCGGCCTTCGCACCACCAGGAGAAGGGCCTCATGAGCCCTCAGCCCTCGACATGTGGGGGACTGAGGGAATGCCCTCGGCAAATACCAGAGAGGAAAACATCAATTGAAATCATCTGCCACAGCGGGAAAGTCTTCGGCAGAATCGACGCATCAGCACAATTACTCATTTTCTCTCAAGTACCTTTCGACAAAAGGAGTGGGGGACTCCTGATGGAGTACATGGCCCAGGGACCCCCGGCCCAGGGACCCCCGGCCCACAGACTCCTACTTCTCCTACACGGGCCCATCAAGCCCGATGAGCACACAAAGCCCAAACGTAGCGGCCCAAGCATGAAGAAGCCCACTGTGCACATGTGGATGCCTTCGGCCCCATGGCCGAAGGCTCCAAATTCTAGGAGACAACTTGATATGGACCCGCAAAGCTTCTGGGAAATTCTGGCTAAAATGTTAGCCTTCGGCTATGTCATGCCCTCGACTGTATATAGCCTTCGGCTATATGATGCCTTCGGCTATATGATGCCTTCGGGTATATGATGCATTCGGCAACAAGCCCTCTCGGCGAATATTTCTTTTAGAGACAGGCAACCACCTCATTCAATGCGGCATCACGTTCAATCACCGCAATTAATACAGTGCACATGAAAATGCCGGTGCCACTCCGATTGAGGTGACCTTCGGCCGTCAGATGTTTGACACGTGTCCCCGCCTAGCATTTATGACTGCTATAAATAGCAGCCTTTACTCCTCTTGTAAAGGATCCCAGATCAGAATCGATTAATATATCTGACTCTCTCTCTTTCTTACTTATTGCTCTGACTTCTCTCTAAGTTTTATTGCCGTAATAACCCTTCGGATAAGCTACCCCCCGGGTATACTATCCATCAATGGTTAATAGTAACTCTAATTTTTAAAAGTGCCTAAAAAATTAAAAGAAAAATACCGGAAGGTGCGCCTCAACAAGACTACCGCTAGAGCTTCTTTCGTTTTTGTTTTCAGCCACCCTTATCAGCGGAAAGTCCACCGGAAAAGATATATTATTGAAATCAATTTTAAAAAATAATTCAAACAGATCCAAAAAATCCAAAGGCGAAGGTGGGTTGGACGTCATCTTGACGAGGCGCACCTTGCGGTATTTTTCTTATAATTCTCCAGGCAATTTTGAAAATCGAAGTTACTATTAACCGTCTTTCTTAGGCGTTTTTAACGGCGTGGCCCTCTTGTGATAATGGATTCAAACACATGAACCACTTTAATAAAAACTGAAACACATGACCCTATCTCAAAATGGGCCCAACCACAAGTATGTTTTCCGTACTTTTCCCTTTAATGAAATACTACGTATACAAAATGTACTATCGGTATCTTTTTTATAAAGAAAAAACGATTCGGGTCGGGTGCCCGTTTCTTATAATTATAGGAATCGCTCCGAACCTAAACATTGGAGTATCCTATCCGCCCCGTTTGAAATTTTTAAAAATCGAACCCGTCTCGAATCGATAATACCCGACCCGAACAACGGTTCATCTACCCGTTTGATAAGCACTATGAAGTCTGAAGTCTTAATATATACACACATTGGTTAGTTTATTATACTCCGTATTATATATACTAGTTATAAACTTAATATTTTTCTTCAAACTGTTACATTCTTGTGTTGCATATGTGTAAGTATTACATTTAATCAGATAAGTGTTACATTTGTGTCATAAAATGTAACATTTTATCAAAACACTCACAAATGTTACATTAGGTTAAATATGTAACACTTTTATAAATATGTTACATTCATAATGATACGTTAGACCTAAAAATGTAGTAGTGATAGATCACCAAATTAAAAGGTGGATCATGCGGAATCTATTGCAATTTAAGAGACCAATTTTTATACTTAGATTAAATTGGGTGAATTTCCATAGAAAACACTCATTTACTCATGTATAATTAATTCTCTATTTTTGTATATTATTTGGCATCATTTTACGGAGCACCCAAAGGTGGATTTAAGCATATATGTTTAGGTTTTCTAAAAATGAATCTGTATTAGTTAATTCAAAGCATTAATAGTAAGCATGTATATTATTGCAGCTTCGTTAAATCTCTTATCGTTCACAAACGATTTAATTAGGGAATTCATGTTACAAATCAAGTCAAGCAAGATTAATACACATTTAGGTTTTGTGTGTTTCTAATCAAATTCCACAGAAGTTCCTAATAACACTTTGATGGAGTATATAGACTCGGACCCCCGGGTCTCACGACTATTGGGCCCGGACAATGGCCCACACACGCTTATCGGACGTCATTTATATCATTTGTATTATTGTAGAGTTCATATATCATTTGTATGTACCAGATTAGCCTTTTATGTAGTTGGGCTTATCGGGCCCATATTAGCGGCCCGACCCATTATTTCTCTATTTATACTCCATTTGGAGCTTGTAAACCCTAGATCACAACTCTAATACACATTACTATTCATTCATCTTCTTCCTCACATTAGCTCAAATCTCTCCATTTTTATAGTTTGGATACCCCTATAATCCATCACACTTGGTGGTTAGATTCTTGTGCTTCTACTCATGTTTCTCACATTATGAAGGGATTTAAGTCCATTCAACCAATAAGGGGAAATGAAAAATTTCTATTTATGGGGAATAGGATGAAAGCACACATCGAAGGCATAGGGACCTATAGATTGATCTTAGACACTGGATGTCTTTTAGATCTAGATAATTGTCTTTATGTGCCTGATTTTGCTAGAAATCTTGTTTCAATTAGTAGGTTAGGTGTTTTAGGATTTCATATCAAGGTTGGGAACAATACCTCTTCTTTATTGAAGGATAATTTTATTTATGGACCTGGTGTGTTGGTTGATTCCCTAGCTATATCGTTTTAATCTTGATCTGAAATTTACTGAATCTCTATTTAATGTTGAAAATAATGTGGGAGTTAAGCGTAGTGCACTAGATGCGGACTCGGATTTCTTGTGGCACCAACGTCTCGGTCATATTTCCAAAGATAGGGTAATGAGGTTAGTTAAGAATGAAATTTTACCTCAATTGGATTTTAGTGACTGAGATGTGTGTGTTGATTGCATTAAAGGAAAGCAAACCAACACACATTAAAGAAGGCGTCCATGAGAAGCACTCAATTGTTAGAGCTTATACACACTCATATTTGTGGTCATTTTGATGTTCCCTCTTGGGGAGGATAAAATTACTTTATCACCTTTATAGATGACTATTCATGTTATGGATACATCTATCTGTTGTATAATAAGGCCCAGCCGGCAGACATCCTAGCGATGTTTGTCAACGAGGTGGAAAGGCAATGAATATGGACAACGTCCAGGTCCATTTGCTAAATTCCTTGAAAGTTGAGGCATTTGTGCTCAATACACAATGCTAGGTACACCACAACAAAAAGGTGTAGCTGAGAGGCGGAATCGTACGTTAATTGAAATGGTTAGGAGTATGTCAAAATATTCTACCTTACCTGGTGTGCGGTGTGTGCCACATCCCCCTTGGAGGCTGAATTGAAGGTCATCCTTACCGCTACTCGTTGGGCGATGGAGGAGGGTTTTGTTGACTTTCAGGTGGAATCAGATTCAACGTTGGCTATGGAGTATATTGCGGGCAAGAAGAAGAGCAGATGGGCAAATGATATTCAGGAAGTCACAGATCTAGCTTTTAGGAAAGGGATGGAATTTGGATAGATGAAACGGGAATGCAACTGGGTTGCGCCTCATGTGGCCCAATTCCAGACGGACGTGTTAAAAAATATTTCTGGGCTAGATCACCTTCCTACTCCTGCAAAAAGAGCTTTTTGGATGGATTTTTTGGTATTCCTTCTATTAGATTGTAATTTGGTTTTATCAAGTAAGGTTTGTTCCCCTTGATTTTGTAATCTCTTCTACTTTTAATAACATCTGGTAAATGTCCCCTGGCATTTGCCCTACTGATTTTGGTGGTTTGCCTTCCGGGGTAAAAACAATTCTACCTTACCCCTTCGTTGTGTATGTATGCATTAAGGACTGCTGCATATACGTTAAACCGGGTTCCTAGTAAGGTAGTTCCTAAGACCCCTTAGGAAACCTAGTTTGAGACGTCTCCATATTGGGGATGTCCTGCAGAAGTAAGAGTATACAATCTACATGAAAGGAAACTTGATATGAGGACAATTAGTGGATTTTTCATTGGCTATCCTGAAAAGTCGAAGGGGTTTAGGTTTTATTGTCCTAGTCACAGTAAGAGAATTGTAGAGACAGACAATGCTCGATTCATAGAAAATGGTCAAGTTGGTGGGAGTAATGACACAAGAAATGTGGTCATTCAAGAACAAAAGATAATGCCATGGTCATTCTAAATACATATTTAGTGACACGATCATTAATGATCATAATGAAGACGTAGTTGGTGAACAAGATACTAATGAGCATGTTGTGACCACTTCAAATGAACATGTCATCACTCAATAAAATGGTAATTTGTCAGAAGGAATAGTGTTAACAAGGTCATCTAGGGAAAAACAATCTACTATTCCAGATGACTATTTACTATGTTCTGTTGAGCATGAGTGTGACTTGAGCTTTTTTTTAGTCCCGAGAACCACCTTTTTAGGTGTGATAAATGTCGGGGAACATTTATCAAATTTTATTGATTTTTAGAGAAGAATTTACAAAGGTAAAGTATAAAAGGTGGGAATTAATTAAAAGACTACAACAAAAATAATCTCCAATTAGGTGAGGATCGGTGAGGATCCAGTCTCATTTGAGGAAGCCATGGATAGTAAAAACTCAAATAAGTGGATTGATGCCATGAATAAAGAGCTTAAATCCATGTATGACAATAAAGTCTGAGATTTAGTTATGTTGCCTGGTGAATCCAAAAGAGTTAGATGTAAGTGGGTCTTTAAGACCAAGCATGACTCTAATGGAAACATCGAAAGTTATAAGGCCAGACTTGTTGCTAAAGGATTTACTCAGAAACGTGGCATTAATTACAAGGAGACCTTCTATCCAGTTTCAAAGAAGGACACCTTGAGGGTTGTTGTGGCTTTGGTGGCTCATTTTGATTTCACCAAATGAACGTGAAAACCGCCTTTATGAGCGAAGACTTAGAGGAAGAAGTGTATATGGATCAACCAAAAGAAATTTTGACCATTGGTATGGAAATCTTGTGTGTAAGTTACAAAAGTCAATATATGGACTAAAACAAGCTTCCTGACACTGGTGTCTTAAATTTCATAATACCATTTGTTCTTATAGTTTTATAAAGGACACTGTTGACCGGTGCGTCTATATGAAGGTCAGTGGGAGCAGGTTCGTAATTTTAGTCATATATGTTGATGATATCTTGCTTGTTGCGAATGATTTAACCATGATGCGTGATGTTAAGAAGTTCCTTCCTAAGAATTTTGAGATGAAAGATATGGGTGAGACATCCTATGCGATTGGAATCAAAATATTTCGAAACCGTTCACAGGGAGTTTTGGGTATGTCTCAGGAAAGCTACATCAATCAGGTCTTAGAAAGATTTAATGTGGATAGATGCTCTTCAGGTGTGGTTCCAATTCAGAAGTGGGATAAGTTCAGTTTATTACAATGTGCTAAAAATGAATTGGAACGTAAGGAGATAGAAAGAATTCCCTATGCATCAGTGATTGGATGTTTGAGATGCGTTCAGACCTGTACTCATCCCGATATTAGTTTTTCTGTTGGAATGCTGGGACGATATCAAAGTAATCCCGAATAGACCACTGGAAAGTTGCAAAGAAAGTTTTGAGGTACTTGGAAGACACAAAAAATCACATAATTACATTTAGGAGATCTGATCATCTTAAGGTGATTGAATATTCATATTCAGTTTTTGCTAGACGTGTCGATACTATAAAGTCAACATCTAGTTTTTGTGTTAATAGTATCATGGAAGAGTAGTAAACAAACAACTATTGCTAATCGCACTATGGAGGTCGAACTTGTGGCATGCTTTGAGGCCACTGTTCATGGTTGGTGGTTGCGGACTTTATTTCAGGACTTAGAATTGTCGACAGTATAGCTAAATCGCTGAAAGTTTATGGTGATAATTCTGCAACAGTCTTCTTCATGAAGAATGATAGGTACACTAAAGGTGCTAAACGCATAGACTTGAAGTGCTTGTCAATAAAGGAAGAAATTCAGAACTATAGAGTGTTTATTGAGCATATTGGCACTGAACAAATGATTGTGGATTCGTTGACTAAATGATTGTCACCAAAATTTTTAAGAATCAAGTAATTACTATGGGTGTTGTTGATAAAGCCTTGTTGTGATAGTATTATCAATGATTTATGTTTGCTCAATTATTGTTTGGTACTCATTTGAATTTAATAAAGGTTGTGTTTCTGTTTTGCTTGTTATCAATTTGATTGTGATCACTGTTGAAAATATTTTTATTGTGATCAAGTTGTTAAAAATAGTCTTGTTTAGTTAGCTATTTATGATATTTTTATGTTTTTAATAGAATAGCCTATTAAGGAATAAGGCCATTTTTATGTAAGGCTCAATTCCCTAGGTTAGGTCCTTTATGGAAAGTTGTACACCCTACGCATATAAATATGCGCTTAGAAGTGTACAACCTAAGTTTTTTCACACATATAGAGTAGCCGCACCTGAAAGTTTTTGATATTAAGTGTGAGAGAGTTTTTCATCTGTTTGAAATCTTGAAGATCATTCTAATGAAATTCTTCTCAATCCTTATTTCGAATCCGTGCATCCATATCTGTTAGAAAATCTCTTAAAACAGGGACCAACGATCACATATAATTATTTGTAAGGGAGAACTATCAAATAAGCCCTCGAACTTTCATAAAAAGTGCAAATTAAGCCCTTTTATAGGAGCCTTTGTCCGGCCGTCGCCATTTAGGGCGGTTTATGGTGGAATTTTTTGATGAAATTTTTTGAGTATCTTCTTCATTAAGTCGAGTTTATTCATACCAAATTTAAGATGAAAATGCAATCGGGAAGGCAGTCAAATGAAATTTTGAAGATAATTGTGCAGTTAGACAGCTCAATATATTTCAGAAAATCATTTGACTGCCTTCTCAATTGAGTTTTTAGCTTAAATTTGGTATGGCTAAACTAAATTTAATGAAGAAGATGCTAAAAAAAATTTCACAAAAATATCCACCGGAAACCGCCCCAAATGGCGACAGCCGGACAAAGCCTCCTGTAAAAGGGCTTATTTGCACTTTTTATGAAAGTTTGAGGGCTTATTTGATAGTTCTCCCTTATTTGTAATGATAACAAGTGTCGAGGATTTAAGTATTCCTCAAATTTAAGATTTGAGACTTTTATATTTCTCAAATGATAAGGATGAATTAGAATTGTCTTGTGATACATGGAAATGAGCATGTCAGTATAAATTGTGTGTAACTGTCATGATCCATCCAATTTGAAATTCAATTAAGTTGTTCTTGATGAGTTTGTTTTGATGAATATTGCACAATTTAAGTTTTCATCAATTCATCAAAGATCACATGACCAAGTGGGAGAATGTTAGAATATTTAGTTAATTAATTTATATTCTAATATTGGTCACGTAATTGGGGTTATATATTATTAATAGAGTTCATATATTTCTAGACCTTTAATTGGTTTAATGATAAAGGATTTATTTAAGTTCATTCATCTATCATGGATCAATGTATTCCTAAATTTTGATCTATCAATATATGATTATGTATAATTATATGATGCCAATCTTGAAATTTAATCTTACAATACAGACAAAATAAAAATTGTTTGTGCGAAAATCAGTTTTCTTCATAATACATCGGTCAAATTATGTGTACATGGAAAATTTGATCGGCGTATACAAACAATGATGTGTACACGAAGCACCATTGTAGGTTTTTTTGACAAACTGTTTAGTGGATTATTTGGTATCCACCATCATGACCAAACCATTAATTGTCCCACACATATTAGGAAGCATATATATACTACATGTGTGTGTGTATATTATCATAAATGGTCTTGAATAAGACTTAAAATGTCCGTTTCTACTTAAATAAGACTCCGACTTTTTTTACTCCTAAATAGGACTACATTTTTACTTTATTCCAAAACTGCCCCTATTTCCTAACATTATTTTTTGCTCCACGACATTCCTCATTCTCATCCACAATCTCTCCAAACCCCCCTATCTCTCTCCTTCCTCCATAGCCAGGCTGGCAGCTTCA